CCCCCCCCGCCACTTCGCTGCTTTTGCTTCTTCAAGCTTTTTTTGTCACCTTCCATCCTGAACTAAAGGAATTATGGATTTGGTCAGCTGGTCTCTGAATGAAATTGACACTATTTTTTCCACACTTGGAACGAGGGGAATGAGGCCATCTGGGTGGAATGGTTGCTGCTGGACTTGTCTGATTCCTGGGGCTGGAATCTGATATGCCACCACCACTTTCCATCGAAGACATAGAAGATCTTTATTTATTTGGATTATGATAACTGGATTCCTGCTGATTGGCGGAGGAGGCTTTCAGATTTATCGAAAAGTGAAGCGACTGGATCGGGCCTTTGAAGAGCTGTCGGGCGCACTTGAAGGATTCTTCCGGGTTGGTAGCACACAGACTCTCAGCTGGGAGAAAAATTCACAAACTGGATGTGATTCTGACGAGGATTGCAGCTCAGGAGCAACCCTTCGGCATGTATGGACTACATCTGGGTGAGCTTCAGATGGTGACAGGTGAGGAAGACCCCAAATTTGGCTCATTGGCTTCTTTTTTTTCGCCACCTCAGAGTTGCAGTTAAGACACTTCAAAAGCAGCAGGAATTTCAAGGCTGCTTTGTTCCAAAATAATTGGTTCATCTATCTGGCTCCCAGCGGCACGGCTTTGAGGGCTGTGCTTATCTTAACCTCCCCAGGATGAAATGTCAACTAAGAGCTGGATTTGCTCCCACCCCCCATCACCAGTGATGGACTTGGCCTTGGAACTCAACTGGCTAAGGAGGAAGAAAACTCTGAACTCCAGCAAACTGAGTAGAGACAATAACATCATGTGACTTTGGACTCTGGATGGGGCCAGGGTTGGGCCTAGCACAGACCCCCCCCTCCCTCAACATCACCTACTCCTCTGAACCTGCCCCATTTTACCTACCCTTTATGTGTTATCTGACCTAACCCCCCCACCCCAGGCTGACTTGCTTGCTCTCTCACATGTTGTTTAACTCAAGCAGAGTAGTTTTTTGAGCATTTGTTCATGTGTTTCTGTAAAAAATCCAGGATCAAAGCTCTTTTTTAACTCACCCTTCCTATTGTGTGTGTCTGTTCTAAGTTGCAAAAGGTAGCACACTAAGTTGCGAAAGACCGTGGACATTCATCCCCCCATGTTTGTCATGTGTGTGTTTCTCCGGACTGATGTTCTAAACTGCAATTTTGTTCTGCACTGCATCTTGATGTTGTGTGTGAATGACAATAAATGTTTCTGATTTTGATTCTGATTCTGATATTGTCCGAGATTAACCTTCAAGGTGGATATAGCTTACTAGCAGCCTCGCACCGATGACCTATCGGCATCATCATTTACCCAGAATGCTTTGCGTGTAAATAAAATTGGCCCGTCCGTGTAATATATTTTTTTAACTTTTAGTTTAAAAATGATAAAAACTGAACATCCTACAGTATTTTAACAGTCTCCTGATGCATCTCAGTAATCCAGGTAAAAAATCAAAAAGAAAAAAATTGTATAGGTCTTCTGGACGGGTTCTTCTCTAATGAAACGTTTCGTCTCTCCTCCAAGAGACTTCTTCAGTCTGAGAGTTTCAGGCAAAATTCAGGCTTTTAAGCCCTGCCTCCATGTGACTGATACTCACATCACATGGCTATCGTTGACACCTAATTAACACCTATTGTTAACAGGGGGTGGAGTGATACTGGCAATAGCAGCACTGTAGGAGGGGGACAACTGAAAACGGAGGCCTCCGCCTCTGTTTAATGATGGACGGTCTTTCTTTTTGATTTTTACAGTCTTTATTTTACAGTTATTTAATATGTTTATTAAATAAAGTCTAATGTTACAACTAATCATGGATCCCTTTAAAACATTGCAAGAAAGTCCAGCTCCTTGGAAGCGAAATATGAAGAAACAGTGAGTAAAGACTTTTGTTTAGTCTGCCTAAAATCTGTCCTAAATCATTCTAACCTGTGATGTTTTCTCTCCCGTCTTTTTGGGTTTTGTAGCTCTGTCTTTTCAGGTGACTTGTACCACAGACTGCGGCAGTGCCAGCACTCCCACCATCAGATACAGCCCTGCCACTGGCCTAGGTCACACAAACTCATTCTTTAAACTGTTCCAATAATAATAATATAAAAAAATGCACCAACAATGACATGAAAATGAACATAGCTAAACTCCTTTATTTTTTGTTTTAATGCAGGTCCTCTGGAGCCTGTTGATAATAGTAAGCAGGGTGTCAGCATGTCAACCCCCCCTGTTTACTCTGAACTCTGGTTCATCTTACTGTTTGTCCTGCTGGGTCTATTTCTGCTCGCCATTCTGATGGGCTTAGTTCTAAAAAGGTATTTTAATGTTAAAAAATAACATAATTTAATTATTATGTGCATGAATACAAACAACTTGGCATAGTTATCATTTACAAAACATAACATCTGAAAAACAAAAGAGAAAACTGTTTAATTTTGTTTTTCACTTTTTTAGAGCCTTGAGGAAGAATCCTTCAGCCAGGGAGCGCCCTCCTCTGGTCATGCTTCAGAAGAGCAGAAAATCTGGAGGAGAGTCGTACACGGTGAGAGGCAGAGAGAGGAGCAGCTGCACAGACAAACGGAAGGTGGTTGGAAAAAAAAGATTGAGCCGTAGTTTGAGATACGACAAAGAAAGAAGCTGAAAAGTTGAGGGGGTAGAATGTACTGTAGGGAAGTCCGGTGACACTGATGCTCAGAGTTTTAAAACAAAACTGTTGAACTTTTTGTTTGATTAGTTTAGATATGACATGCTCTAAATCAAACTCCTACAATAGATTTATTATATTTTCAGTACTTGTAGGTTGTGGTGTAAGCATTCTATTAAATTGTATCACCACCTAATGCCATAAAAGTATTGCATTTTTTAAATCCGCTGTTTTGTGCTACTTGTTTTATTTTAATATCTCTGATTCTTATTCACCTTATATTCCTACACTATTCTTTCCTTCCAATCTGTTTCTCTCAGAGGCCCTGTCCTGAGCTGTGCTCTAAACACCTCCCCAGCTCTATGCTCCTCCTTGATCACACCACAGTAAGATCATTTTCTGTCTTTTTTTCTATCAAACCCTTAAATGTTTATTTTGCTGTCCCCCTTGCAGTTTGACACTGTAGCAGACTGTGTTGAGATCAGCAGCGTTATTCTTAAAAGCTACACTGTGTACACAGAGGTATGGGATTGTGGTTTTCTGTGGGTTGCCCTCCTGCGCATGTCCTCTGTGTTTGCATCTGCATGTTTTGTTTTGCATGTATAACCTCTCGCTTTCCCATTTAAAACAAGGTTTGGTTCATTGTGCAGCCTTTACACAGCTTTATACAGGTCCTTCTAAAAAATTAGCATATTGTGATAAAGTTCATTATTTTCTGTAATGTACTGATAAACGTTAAACTTTCATATATTTAATTGCACACCAACTGAAGTAGTTCAAGCCTTTTATTGTTTTAATATTGATGATTTTGGCAAAAAAGTAAAGAAAAACAAAATTCCCTATCTCAAAAAATTTGCATATTTCATCCGACCAATAAAAGAAAAGTGTTTTTAGTACAAAAAAGTCAACCTTCAAGTAATTATGTTCAGTTATGCACTCAATACTTGGTGGGGAATCCTTTTGCAGAAATGACTGCTTCAGTGTGGCGTGGCATGGAGGCAATCAGCCTGTGGCACTGCTGAGGTGTTATGGAGGCCAGGATGCTTCAGTAGTGGCCTTAAGCTCATCCAGAGTGCTGGGTCTTTTGTCTCTCAACTTTCTCTTCACAATATCCCACAGATTGGGCCAGGGGTTCAGGTCAGGAG